TAAAGATGAAAGATTATAGAAGGAAATCAAGCAGGCAACTTAATGGATTAAATTGAATATAATAATATATAAAATTATATGCTGCAAAGTGCACATTCAATTGAAAACTTGAAAGGAGAATATTGCTGCCAGCCACGTGGCAGATTCTGAAAGTAGTGGCCAATTGAGGAGCTGCGCACAATCTTGAAGGCGGCGGACAGAACGCGTACAACAATTCCAACTCAGTTTTGGTTCTGGTTTTCTCGTTTGTTTTGGTCCCAATTATTTTATTTAGGGTTTTCTACAACTATAAATAGTCCACAGAAATAATTATTGGACAACCAATATACAGTATGGAGGAGGCACTTTTGAAGAGAAAGTCGTCAATACTTTTTAGGGTTCTTTTCTTCTTCTTATTTTCTTAGAGATTATTGGATAAAGTCCTTGTTCTGGGGCTATAGCCACAAATCGAATGTTGATTATTTAAGGTTTATGAATTAATTTTCGGTTGTCAATACAAGTCACTTCTATATTCTTGTTTTAGTATTTTATGTTTGCACACCATAAGATAAATCTATTGTCTAATCTTAAAATCGAGAGAGAAGAGGTTAGATAGACCAGAGAATATAGAGAGCTCGGTCCACCCATTAAATTAAGGTGATTAGTGTTCAGGAGTGACGCCCAGACGAACACCTTGCTTGGTTATGAAATAGGATGAAATATAAATGCTCGCCAATTAGTCTATTTATCTCCGCTCAACGATGTAGTTAGATAGCTAACTTGGGTAGGCGACGAGAGGCGTATAACCCGAATCATATCATCAACCCTATAAACTAGTAACTTGACAACTGAAATGAATTATAAGCCTATAATATGATACATGAGATTCAATACATGCTGCATCCTTGGGATTTTCCAACTATTGTAAGTAATCTTATTATTTTATTCCTACATTCTTTTTTATTTGACACTCTTAAATAAATAATTAGACCAATATAATTTAGTAAAAATAGTTAATTGACAAGTCATTTGGGTTCAATAATCTTTTTCTTTTAAGAGCCACTATATTACTTGCGCGACCACGTACACTTGCGTGTGCAATTGGGAGCAACAGATACTATGTTTTAGGGTTGATCGACACCATTCTGAGGGTAGTACCATGTTAATTAGGGTTATATGTGTGTTATTGCATGTTATTTACTTGTGTTACTACGTTTGTTTTGAAGCATGTTTGGACTTAGTCTAAGATAGACTAGTGATGTCTTAGGCCCGTGAACCTTATGACTTTGGTATGTGTCTGATGTTGTTTCGTATGGACTAGGTCATTGTAGACTGAATTAGCAAACTTGGGTATGATAGCTTGAGCTTAGTTTAGGCGTTTGCACAACTTTATAAGCCTTCTATTTTTTCTCCCTATCTCTACGACTCCGATGGGCTGCCGAAGAGCACGCATCATATGATGATTTGATATTGGGTTGTTCTAGGCTTGGAGCCTCATGTGAATGCTTGTGGGTGGACGTTGTTCTACGATGATTTAGTCTCGATATTGGAATCTTTTTTTGGAGTCGACTAACTCTTTTGTCACTCTTGCTAGCTGGGGTAGGAGTCGACTGGACATTATGACTATTTCCAATTCGAGGCTGACGATTGTAGTTTGAGGCTGTTATCTCTATTTTGAGGCCAATGTTTATGGGTCGAGGCCGTATTCGCGATTTAAGGCTAATACTTAATGGTTCGAGGTTGTCACCTCTAGTAGAGGTTATAACTTGGGGTTCGAGGCCCAGTGTACACCTGTTGGATTTGGTTTGAAGGCACTTCTCTCCCTCTAGCAGAATTTGCTATTCTATGTACCTGTCGGGATTATGAGGGTTCGTTCGGGTTTTATTTAAACTTGCACACGAGTGTACCTTCTGTGATTATGGGGGCCCAGTTAGGTTTAGTTTAGGTGTACTTAGATTTACTTTCGGTATGTTCATGTGTTGTCTTTTCATAATCGTTTGACCTCTGTTTTTGTCTAGATTATATGTTTTCTGATTGTATTTACCTTTCTTGCTCAGTCGTCCTATGATGCCTACTGAGTACCTTTGGTTTGGTACTTATGCTACACTCTGCATTATTTTTGTGATGTAGGTTCTTGCACCAGCTACGAGTGGTGATCGGTCACGCCATTTTTTGCAGCTTGTGGATACCAGAGACGAGGGTGAGCACTTGAAATCCTGGATCAGCATGTCTCCTTCTGTATATATGTTAGCTAGTCTTTTACCTTTGACACGGCTTGTTGTGGTCCAATTTTGAGACTTGTACTTGCTCATATTAGACAGTTATGTACTCGTGACTTCCAAGTTTTGGAGGTTTTCCCATTGTATATAGATTTTGGTTTTCTTGTGTTTCTGCCTTTTCTTATTATTACTATTATTTTATGTTTACTTTTACCCTAGCACTCATTACTTGTCCTTCTAGGTTATGGGTTGGATTACTTACTGGTGGATTATAGTAGGTGTCATTATAGAAGGATTAGTCGTGAGTTTATGCAAAAATTTCCCCTAAGCCGCTCATAATTTTGCAATTACATCTTGGGAAAAAGGAGGAGTGACCTAAGATGAATTCTAACCTATTTCCATAAATTTCATTGATAAAGGTAAGTTAATTGCTTCCCTACTTTGGTATTGTGATTCTTAGGCCTTAGAATCATTGTTGGGTGACCTTAGGGAGAGTTTGATTTGAATTAATGGTGAAAAGACCTTAGTTTTGGTAGGATGATCATGGGAGTGGCCTGAGGTTTAGGATTTGGCTATAATTAAGATATTATTAGGCCATTATTTATTGATTGTCGTGTTTTATCATTGTTTTTAACCAAGAACAAGTTAAGGCCTCACAAAATGGGAAGGCTCAAGTTCAATAGAGCTTCCAAAGCTTGATTTAAGGTATGTGATAGTTATTTGTTTTCACCGTTTATGTTATATGTGCTTGTCAACTGCTTTATTAATACTACATGCATGATATATGATTAGGAGAAAAAGAAGGAACGTGATTTGAAATGAAAGATGTTGTCAATTGTATGTAATGAATATGTTAACTTGGATATATAAGTGTGATTGTTGTTCATTGTTTATGCAATTGTGTTTTGTGTTTGATGATGAGATCGGGTACCATGCGGTATATAATATTATTAGAATGGGTACCACACCGATATACTAACAATGGGAATGGGTACCACGTCGGTACACAAACAGTTGTATGTGTGGGTTCCATGAGACAATCAGATTGTTTTGTTGTATTGTGATGATACTGTTTATTGTGCACATCAGCTCATGGTAAGGACCGGAAGTCCGAGCTATGTTTTACTTGAGTTTATGATTGAATATTATCTGTTTTACTAAGTTATGGTTGTTTGTTCATATCTCAGATAACTGGAACTGGCCGATTATCCTACCAGTACATGGTGGTTGTGTATTGATCCTACACTTGTTCTTTCTTTGTTGAGTACTCAAGCGACTGTTTTGCGACCTTAACTGTGTTAACTCCATTATCTAAATCCAAAGGTGAGACACTTCTTCCGGGCTGCAATAGATTCCTCTTTATTTCCTTAGGCCATTCATTCGGACTCAAACATTTTAGTACTGCAACTTTCAGTTTCTAGGGGGTTACTTCCGCATTGTTGGACGATTATGGTTTCTTTACTAAAAACTTGGTTTAATTATTGAAGACTATTTACTTGAAAATCTTTGGAACTGCTTACTTTGATTGCATTTTAGACTTTGTGTGAGTAGTTGGTTGGTTCTCCCACCGAGATTAATGTGGGTGTCACTCACGGTGGGTCAGGATCGTGAAAGTTGCCCTCTACCATTAAAAATTAATGTCATATTTAATGTAATCAATTGTAATTTATAAATAATCTTTTATTACAAGTTTACAACGCAAGTCTTTTCACAACTAACTTTAACACTTAGAGCATGTTTGGATTGACTTAAAAGTTGACAAAACATGTTTTTAAGCTCTTTTTAGTTTTTGAAAGTGTTTGACAAATTTAAAAATAGCTTAAAATAAGTTTAAAATGACTTTAAAAAAAGTTGAAAACCAAAAGTAGCACTCCCATACTTTTTATATTTTTACTTAAACGCCATTCAAGTTTGATCAAGTATATTACTTCTCTACCCCTATTTATTTTTTTTAGATAATTTCAGATTTACCCTTATGAAATAAAACCCTAACAATCAATTCACTTTCCCTCTCCATTTTTTTCTTCGAGCTGCTGCGCCACACTGTTCTCTCTAGCTGGGCATGGTATGGTATGGTACAGTATTTAAAAACTTGTGTACCGTAATTTCACTATTTATTTTTTAAAACTACTATACCATTGTCCTCCCAATTTAATTCGGTATGATTTAGTATTTTGAAGTTCAATTTTGTTATTTTGCAGTATAGTAATCGGTAACTATAGTTTGTTCAACTTCGACTAATTTATACTCGTATAATAGAGAATTATGACTTCGTCAATCAAAAAGAAGGTCTCAACTATATCATACCAAATACCATACTACCAAAATCACAGTATCAAAATTTTTGATATAGTATGATAATTCGGTATATACCATATCATGCCCGCCCCTAGTTCTCTCCAACATTTCTTCCTTGGTTCTCTTTTTTTTCACAGATTTTTCACGAGGCTATCCGTCATTGGCATTTATTCATTTTTTTTCTTCCTCGATTTTCATTCTCTTCATTTATGAGTTTTTTTTTCTTCCTCGGTTTTCATTCTCTTCATTTATGCATTTTTTTCTTCCTCGATTTTCTTTTTTTTTTCTTAAATCTTTCATATGATCTATTCAAATTATATATTTTTAAAATTTAAAATAATTGTGCATACGCAATTAACTTAGATATCTTTATTGTTAAGTTATCTATATATATTTTTTTCCTTTAAGAGAAAAACAAATATGCTAAGTATAAGAGACAAAGGATGGTCATTCTTTCAATGATAATTAAACAAAATCAATAAAAATCTGTATACATCAACTTGATCAAGCTATTATCTCATCTAGCTTACACTCTCTGTACCTAACAGCAGCCTTAAATGATCCAGCCTTATGAATTACATCACAACATTCACATCTATTGATCTGAAAAAAAAAAAAAAGAAAAAAAAAAAAACATATCACATATCACATTTTTTTTTGTAATTTTCATACAACAAGTAGATGTTGTTACAAATGAAACATAACCAAACAATAAACACAACAGCCACGGGACCCTACATTTATTGAATTTTATTTATTCTTTGATTGCATAGCTTCAAGAGAATTATTTTCTAAGTTCATTTTATACATGATTGCAATCATGTATGTTTAAATATAATCGAATTTAACTTATATTACATTGTCAATATAAAGAGTTTTATACTTTCAGTGTAGTTTATCTCAAAGTTAGTAAATCCCATTTTCTATTGAAGAAAATTTATATAGTCAGTGTACACAAGTTAAATTCATATAAAGTTCATAAGAAATTTAAGTAAAAAGAAATATTACCTGGAGACGTTTTGTTGCTGGTGAGTAAACATGAATTTCATTAACATATTCTGCAGGATAACTTCCAGGATACAAACAAACTCCTATCCCTCGAGGCCATGCTCTGATATATTTTGTAAGAATTTTGTTTTGTGGAGTTTTCTCAATAGACTGGAAGAAATACATATGAGGGGTTTCACAAGGATCCCAAGAAAAATTTCTAGTATCAAAAATATAATGTGGTGGAAGTGTAATGTTACCCCATGGTTTGAATGTTTCAATAGGATTTTGTATCAAACTTCTAGGCATAATATTCTCATAAATATGAGCTGAATATCCCCATGAAATTGAAAATGTCCAATTGTTGGATCTTTTGTAGCAAATAGTTTGTTGTAACATTCGCGATTGATCATATTTTGCAGCATTTAGGAGATGATATCCCGATTGTGCACGATCCAAAGAGGGGAAAATTGGGTCAACCGTGTCAAAATGGTGAAGGGATATTAATAAAGATTTTGGATGGGATGATAGAAACCCTGATAGATCACCTCGTAGATCAATCTGTACTAAAGAAGAAATTAATTAATTAATAAAGAAAAATCTCTAGATCAAAGATTTATAAAATTCAGAAAAGTATAGATCTACTTTTATCTATTGATGTGACAACAATTCATTATTTAAATATTTTATTCGACTTTTGAGGATCAAGAGGAAAGAGAGAAACGATTGTTCAATAAAGTTTGAGATCAAATTTATACCTGATGACTACCCATAAGAGGAGAAAGATTGACTCCAATATCAGCTGTGCAACTCATTGTAGTTCTATCAGCAGATCTAAAGAAAGCATATCTCTTTAAACAAGAAATCACATTATTTGCAAATGCTCTAGCCAAAGGATAACTCAATATAATTCCAGCACCACCAAATGCTTGATGAAATGAGAAAAAATAATTCGCCATTATAAATTCCGAGTGTCCTCCAAAATAATAATATTTCGTATGATCATATTGTGCAAGAATATCAACCATATTATCCACAAAAAATATTGAATCATCGTCCCCCATAACTACCCATCGTACCCCTTCATGTGCCTCTCTAACCACCTCCATAATTCCATGTACCATTCTTAAAACTCTTGGATCAACATGATTTGTTTCATTCATGAGTCTTGGTACATCATCGGATACTCGATAAGGAGGTGAATTTAAGGACCATGGTAGAAGATCTTCACCTTGAGGAGGTACATCTAGTAAAAGATGTCCTATTGTAACATTTGGTCTCCACCATGATTCAATATATGGTTTTCTATGATGCCATGCTTCTTCTGACCCTAAAAGTCCAAAAACAAGGTGACTAATGTTAGTAGGCACACTAATACTGATTTGTACAACATGATTTGATGATGATGATGTATTTGATTGAGAATTATTTGGAAAAGATGTTATGAATTTTGAGGAAGAGAAAAGATGATAAGATGGACATTCACTGAGAAAGATAATTGTAGCCACATATAAGGTTAAACCACAAATTAATACTGTTTTGCAAATGCTAATCACAAGTGATGTTTCAAATGTAGGCATGTTATAGAGAGATTGGATGAAAGAGAACTACATAATGAAGTTAAATCAATGATCATTTGATTTTTATACTCCAATATGAGCTATTTTTTTGTTTTCTATTTTCAAGGTTTTAGTATTTGCTATAGTATTTAATATAATCTTCAACATCAAATCCAACTTTTTCATTTTTTTCTATTATATAGTCTAATAGACCTAAAAAAAAAGAATGAAGATCCTACTTCTTTGTGAACTACATTGTGACTTTGAGATCTCTACATAGGTATTAGTTGTTTTACTATACTCCTTTACGGTACTTCTTTATCTACATTTTGACGGTTTCGTTATAATAAAATTAAAAGTTGAATTACTAAAATACCCTTTTAAAGTTGAGCGATTATAATATCCTTCAATTATACATATATTACCTCCTTCGCGAAATGGTACATTAACTTTCTCTTTATTTTATTTTTTTGTTATAGGAAATCTGAAGAATTTCAGGTGTTACTTAATTAATAATTAATGTACTAAGTTCAATTAACTAAAAATTTAATGCAAGAATCATATTCATATTCTAAATGTCTTTACATTTGGAGAAACTTTTCCCCCTCATTCACTTTCTTTCATTTAATTTTCTCTAAATTAAATATTTACATAAAATTTTATTACTCACCTTTTTTTTTTGACAAACAATGATTCTCATTCAACCAAAATTAATGTTCATTACAAAAATAATAGTTGCTGATAACGAGCTACTATTCCTATATCAATGACTATAACTTTCTATACAAATAGAGACACACAACTTACTTGCAAAATAAGCATAAGAATACATTAGAACCTAATAACTCATGGATATTCTACCAATTGCACTTTTCTTAGTATGTAAGGGTATAGAAACCTCTAAAAAGTACACTTATTAAGGGTGTGTTTGGTCATGTTCGATTGACTTAAATGTTTTGAAAAATATTTTTCAAATGTAATTATTTTCCTCTAATTTAAGGAAAATGACCCCCTACATAAAGTAAGGAAAATATTTTTCACAACTGTCCTTAATGTGAAAAATATTTTTCAAAACTTTTCTCAAACCTCTACCACCCCGAACCGGATCCCCACCTAGGACCCGACTTTCGACCCTGACATGAGATCCAACTGGGGACTCAGAACCTGACTCTCAGATACGACCTAGACCCCGACTATGACCTCGTTAATTGGAATCAACTTCCGACCTCAGTTGTGACCCAACTCTCGGCCCCGACCGAAGACACGACTCTTGACCTTGACTCTTTAATTTACCTTTACCCTAACTCTCGACTCCAAACCCTCAACCTGACCCCAACTCCTGACTTGAGAATCGATTCCCAACTATGCCCCGATGGGAACCTGACTTCTAACCTCAACTACGACCCGACTCTTTGCCCCGACCCGAAGTCCCAACTCCCAACCTCGACTCGAGACTCGAATCCCCAACCCGACCTAATTTCTGGCCTAACTCAAGACCCAACACTCGACCCTGACTTTCGACCCCAACTCGGGACCTGACCTTGATCGACACCAGACTTCTGATATTGACTCGAGACCCAACTCCTGATGCTCTACCATAACTTTTAACCTAGGACCCCAACTCGAGACCTTGACCAAACTCAAGATTCAAGACTTAAATCATGACACTGACCTAAGACCTGACTCCTGAATAGAAACCTAGCTAATTACGATACCGACTCGAGACCAAGTTCCTTACCCCAATTTGATACCCAACTTCTAACATCGACTTAGTTCTAAATCCTGACACTCACTTTAGATTCGACGTCAACTTGAGATCTGACTCTAGACCAAATCTCAACCTTGACAACTAACATCGTACCGTCTTAGGACCCAAATCCCGATATTGGCCTCGACTTGGGACCTAACTAGCGACCTTGACCTAGGGTTTGACGATTTATCTTGACCCAAAACTCAGTTCCTTATCTGGGACCTCATTACAGACTTGCAACCCAACTCTTGATCTCGACCATAACCCTGACTCGTGACTCTTGACTTGATCATCACTCGGGATTCGACCCCAACCAAGATCCAAATTTAATCCCCGACTTGGGACAACACTTATTTTCTAGAAAAAAACATTTTCCTTCATACCAAACAACCTTTAAAAAGAGAAACAAAAAAAGGAAGAGAAAATGCCTGTATTTGGGAGTATTTATTTCTTTACATAATAAGAAATAATAGATGATATGGATATCCTTATTATTCATTGGCTTACTTTGTTTTTTTACATATCAAATATGGTCGGGTCAAATAATTTATCCATTTTCACTGACTCATATTTGACCTACTCATATCTGACTCGACCCACACATTTGCCTACCGTATAAGTATCTCTCTGTATATATTGCTAGAAGATCCATCTGAACCTTAACTCTAGCACATGAATTAGGCCGAGTTTTGTTTATTGTGGTTGAATCCAAGTGTAGAGGCTTCCCTACCGCAAAAGTAAGAATAAATAGGAATTCTTTCACAAAATAGGTGGCCAGTAAATTGGGAAAGGATATGGCCAAGTCATTTCTATGTTGTTTCCTCATCTACTTTGAATTCCGTATCATAAATCAATGGTCTCATCTGATAAACGAAACCATCATTGGCTTTGATAAAACAAGCATTGTTTGATAGCATATTAATTAATCCTCTCAATGTAATCATGAATCATGGTTCTTTTCTCAATGTAAAAATATTGCTTTTGTAACCATTTGTGTTCCCTTAAACTCTTCTCAAAAGATACTTTAAAATACTCTTGCTCAAATCTTCGTTAAAACTCTTTCTCAAAACTTATCTCTGTTTTCTTAGGAAATCAGTTTTAAGACAAAAATGCTTGCTTTAAAAGATTCTCAAAAATTATGACTCACAATAGGGTTCATGCTGAAATATTGACATGAACGAATCAACTCAAATATCTCAATGTATAATAATATATATAACAACTTATGATCAAGGATTTAGAACTCAGAATCATGAATAACATTACTCATATCAAGAATACTCAAATCTAAGGATAGAACCTAGATTACTCTTTTATTGATTTGAAAGTAGATGTAGAGCGTGAGGAAGAACTAATTCAACACTATGATATATAGCCTTACATACCTGGAAGAACGAAGTTCTTTGGCAAAATCGACGAAACTCAAAGAACGCTTGAACCCTAGATTTTCTCCTCTTGGAACCTTGCTCTAATGACTTGAAGTGTTAATGAACGTAAAAGAATTGATTAACACTTTCTAATCCCTTAATTAGATGTAAAACGTTGTGGTTTAGGCTTAGAATAGGAATTAAAATGACGTAGTTTAAGTACCAAATACATATGAGAAAGACTAAAATGACCCAGCTTAAAAACTATCGAGGTGCCTTAAAAGGAGGTTTCATAGACCGTTTAAGGCTCCATGGTCAGTGAAACACTTCACGGGCCGTATAGGTGTTTGTGAACCTTCGTCTATCTGACAGGGCCTTATTAAAACGAGAATAATTTTTTCTCCAAACTTTAAATGAGGCAAACTTGGTGGTGTTGAAAAGAGGACTCAAAGACCTTTAATTTGATAGGCCACGGACCACCTAATTTATTATGTGCTGATAGATATGATCGTTTGAAGTTGACCCAAAACATAAAAGTTGATGGGTGACTTGTACGGAGCCCTAAACGGACCGTACATGCCACCATAGGTCGTCTAGGGTTCCGTCCAGGTGACCCCCACCTTGGCAGTCCTGGATGGTTGGCCACCTTGCTCTAAACGGGTTGTGGACCTCTAAATGGACCATTTTGGGTTCCGTAAAGGGTCCATGGTCCATTTTGGGTTCGTGGACTTTCCTGTTAGTCCTCTTTAGACTTTCTCAAAGTTCAAGGTGTTACACGAACGATTCAAATTTTAAGAGTACAGTTGCGAGGTGTTATAAAATAATTCGGGTTCTTAGCTTAAAATTTTTCAGGGTGTTACAAAATGCCTATATTTGGGAGTATTTATTTCTTTACATAATAAGAAATAATAGACAATATCAATATCCATATTATCCATTGCTTTACTTTGTTTCTTTACATATCAGATATGGTTGGGTCAGATAATTTATCTATTTTCACTGAGTCATATTTGACCCACTCATATCTTACTCGACCCACACATTTACCTACCCTATAGGTATCTCTCTGTATATTTTGCTAGAAGATCCACCTGAACCTTAACTCTAGCACAATTAGGCCGAGTTTTGTTTATTGTGGTTGAATCCAAGTGTAGAGGCTTCCCTACCGCAAAAGTAAGAATAAATAGGAATTCTTTCACAAAATAGGTAGCCAGTAAATTGGAAAAGGATATCCAAATCATTTCTAAGTTGTTTCCTCATCTACTTTGAATTTCGCATCATAA